TGGCCAGACTTTGTCTCACCTGCTTTGGTCATTCTGTCAGAAGGGACTATTCTCTGGAGAAGGATGTCACACTTGGTAAAGTGGAGGGTCAATGAAAGAGGGGAAGGCCCTTGACAAAATGGATTGATACGGTGGCTGCAGCAATGGGCTCAGGTATAGTAGGGATCGTAAGGCTGGCACAGAACTGGGCAGTGTTTCATTCTGTTGTACATTAAGGTCACTATGAGTCGGAGATGATTCAAGAGCACATAACAATGTAAGGTAATAAATTCCTGTTTGTTGAAGCCATTCACTTGTGGTATTTGTTATAGCAGCACTACACAACCAAGAGAAGGCCATTATTTTCTCCCATTATGTGGGACACTTTCTTGATAGATTCCTTTGAAGCATTTTTTTTTTTTTTTTAATTTTGATGACATCCAGCTTACATATTTTTTCCTTGGTTGCTTGGCTTTAGGTATCATAGAAATCATGACCTAATCTAAGGTCATCTCCTTGCATGTTTTCAATATATATTTTATTATTGTTGTGTTCTAAATATTTTTTCCCATATTATTTTGTGTTTGACTCACAAGAAAATTGGAAGATTTGTGGCAGTTTTTTTCCCCCAATAATTCTTTATTATTGATTTCTCAGTTTGAACTCTCCTGTTTAATAGGCCTAAAACCTCCATTCAGTGCCCTATTCAGGGCAGCTTCAGTATCAGACAACCATTTTGCATTCTTTGTTTCTAGTCTTTGGGCACCTTACTTTGTTACAAGCTCAAGTATGAATTTCAGTGTTCTCGCTGTTTACAAAGGGAAGATTTTCCTTTTATCTCATCCATGGTATTCTTTGAAGATAGGAAAAGGCCAAAATGGATGTCAGAAGAGACTCTGAAACTTGCTCTTGAACACAGAGTAGCTAAAGGGAATGAAAAAAATGATGAAATAAAAGAACTGAAAAGTTCAAAGAGCAGCTTGAGAAGACAAACTAAGTATTATAATGAATATGCAAAGACCTAGAATTAGAAAACCAAAGGGGATGAACACACTCAGCATTTCTCAAGCTGAAAGAACTGAAGAAAAAATTCAAGCCTCAAACTGCAATTCTGAAGGATCCTGAATGATGCAGGAAGCATCCAAGATGGAAAGAATAGAGTCACTGTACCAAAAAGAACTGGTTGACATTCAACCATTTTAGGAGGTAGCATATGATCAAGAACTGATGGTATTGAAGCAGTCCAAGCTATACTGAAGGAAATGGCAAAAAAAAAAAAAAAAAAAAAAACAAAGCTCCAGGAATTGATGGAAGACCCATTTAGATGTTTCATCAAACAGATGCACACTGGAGGCACTTAATCATTTATGTCAATAAGTTTGTTAGACAGCTATCTGGCCAACCAACTGGAAGAGATCCATATTTGTGCCCATTCCAAAGAAAGGTGGTCCAACAGAATATGGAAATAATCAAGCCCTATCATTAATATCACCTGCAAGTAAAATTTTGCTGAAAATAATTCAAAAACAGTTGAACCACTATATTGACAGAGAACTTCCAGAAAAGCAAGCTGGATTCAGAAGAAGATGTGGAATGAGGATATCATTGCTGAGTCAAATGGATCTTCACTGTAAACAAAAAAATACCAAAAAGATATTTACCTGTGTTTTATTGACTATGCAAAGGCATTTGACTGTGTGGATCATACCAAATTACGGATAATATTGTGAAGAATGGGAATTCCAGAACACTTAATTGTGCTCTGAGGAAACTATACATAGACCAAGAGGCTGTCATTTGAACAAAGGGATACTGCATGATTTAAATTCAGGAAGGGAGTGCATCAGGGTTGTATTCTTTCACCATTCAATCTGTGTGCTAAGCAAGTAATCCAAGAAGCTAGACTATATATGAAGAACACAACATCAGAATTGGAGGAAGACTCACTGACAACACGCAATATGCACAAACACAAGCTTGCTTGCTAAAACTGAAGATTTGAACTACTGATGAAAATCAAAGACTACAGCCTTCAGTATGGATTACACCTCAACATAAAGAAAACAAAAATCCTCACAACTGGACTCATAAGCAACATCATGATACATGAAGAAAAGATTGAAGTTGTCAAGGATTTCATTTTACTTGGATCCGTAACCAACAACCATGGAAGTAGCAGTCAAGAAACCAGACTTTGTATCACACTGGGCAAATCTGCTGCAAGGGACCTCTACAAGACATACAGAGCAATCCCTCACAGACACCCAGACACTATGGGAGAGAGATCCAATGGATCTACCTATCTCAGGACCATGGTACTGAGGAACACCAGACTCAATTGGCACAACAAAATACATAAAAGCCTTGTTCCTCATTGTACATTGGTGAGTAGCAACCAGGGTCTTAAAAGTTTCAAGTGGCCATCGATGATGCACCTAATGGTCTCCTATCATCAGAAGCAAAGAAGAGTGCAAAAAAAACAAGGGCATTTGGAAGCAATCAGCCCTAGGATATGATGGCCCTTGAGACCAGAAGAACTAGATGGTGCCTGGCTACCAATTCCAACCACTCAGGAAAGGATCAAATCTGGAGATCCTGGATAGAGTGGAAGGAAAAACAAAATCCAAAACAAATGTTTTGTGGAAACAAGTGGAACAAAATCCAAAAACTCATAATGACCAGAATTACTAGTTGGATGGAGTCTGGTGAGATCCCCAATACTATGGACCTGGAATACATTCTGCACCTAGAATAAAACTCACTCCCAGGGGCTAGCTCTCAGCCCGATAGTTAACAAGATGTACATGCAGACCACTCAACCCAGGGGGACACACCCACATGCTCTAGGGAAATACATCCCTTGGAGCAATATACCACAGAGGTAATGCAGGAGACAGGAGTGCATAACTATCAGGGGCACAGGGAAAGGGTTACTGGGTGGGGAGGGGTGGAGATTGGGTTAGGGTTGGGCATGGTAAATGGGGAGTGAAACTAAATGTACACATAAGGTTGAACGTAAGACAAATTCTTACAATAAAAAAATAAAAATAAAGTGTTGAAGAGCTAAGATGTCACTTTGAAGACTAAGGTGCACCTAACCCAAGCCATGGTATTTTCAATAGCCTCATATGCATGTGAAAGCTAGACAATGAATAAGGAAGACAAATTGATGCCTTTGAATTGTGGTGTTGGTGAAGAACACTGAAAACACCATGGACTGTCCTGGAAGAAGTGAATGTTCCTTTAGAAGTGAGAATGGCCAGACTTGGTCTCACCTAATTTGGTCACATCATCAGAAGGGACCAGTCCCTGAAGAACAATATCATGCTTGGTAGAGGGTCAGTAAAAAAGGAGAAGATCCCCCAATGAGATGGACTGACACAGTGGCCTTAACAGTGGGCTCAAGCGTAGCAAAGATTCTAAGGATGGCCCAGGACTGGGCAGTGTTTCCTTTTTTTGTACATAGGAGCACAAGGAGTCACAGCCAACTCAAAGGCACCCAACAACAATAATTCTTTGAGGGTCTCTCCTCACCTATGACAGCTTCTTATCCCTGTCATATCTCTATTTCTGTTCTTGAAGGCTACACTCTGGAACCTTTGATCTAGACTGTGTTTGATGTTCATTTGAGCCACGGTTCACTTCCATGGAAATAATGAAGTTTAGGCAGGGGATGGGACTGTAGGGAAGAGGCACATGCATTTAGTGTGGTTTTCCTGGAATCTTGTCAAGCCCCCACAACAACCTCCCTCCCTACTAGCATGCAAGCCAGAGCCTACATGAATGTGCATGTCCACAAATCCAATGAGATCCTCTAGCAGTTCTATTCCCCCAGTTGACCATTCTGGAGAGTCTGTCTCTATACAGTCATGAGTGTAACATATATTATGTTCCAAATAGCAAAGGTAATAACAATTAGAATATAAATTATAGCTAAGAGAGCATATTATTCAGGTTCTAAGATTCACATTCAATTTATCTGAAATAATGTACAGAAACCAAGAGATATCACTTTCGGAAACTGGGATATTATTCAAGATGCAAGGCAGGTCTGATGACCAAGTTATTTTGTCACCTAGGCAACTGCTGCTGCCTCCTCTATTGCTCCACCATTATGGTCCTTCAATAACTGCTTTGCTGCTACTACTTTTTAAAGTCCTTCTAATCACAGACTCCACTTATTGCTTGTTCTTTATACATTCTGTACCTAGAATAAAACTCACTCCCAGGGGCTAGCTCTCAGCCCAATAGTTAACAAGATATACATGCAGGCCACTCAACCCAGGGGGCACAGGGGCTTCTACCTCACCTTCACTCCCATACCACCTCCTCTTGAAGACCAAATATTCCATCAATGTATCTAATGTTCAAACTCCCCGAGAGAAAATGCATTTGATGGAGCTAATTGTAATTATCTCAGTTGGACAGAGCTACTACATCCAGCCATCTCCTAGGCTCTGAGCCAGGCATTTGGCAACTAGGAGTCAAGTACAATTCCATGACCCAAAGGGCTACCATCAGTGTGATGGGATCAGTTAGCTTTCTTCAAAATGGACAGTCCATTTGGCAGGTGCTCCTCGGAAGGAAGGTTGGGCAATCTACTTCCGTAGTGATACTGCCTCAGCAACCCAAGGAGGGGTTGCTATGAGTCGGGGCCGACTCGACAGCACATGACAACAACAACAACACAGAAGTTCTATTACCGAGGCAATCAGAATGAATCCTTTCACAGTGAAGCACACAGGACTGAAGCAGTCAGACAGACCTTGGTTCAAATCCTGAACAGCCTGTGTAATCTTGGGCAAGTCACAATTTTTCTAGTCCCCAGATTCCTCATCATCAAACAAGAGACAGTATGCCTACCTACTAAAGCTACTATGAATAGGAAATGAAGCATGTCACTTCAGTTACATGCATGTAAAAGCACTTAGCACTGTGCGCGGCACATAGCAGTCACTCAACAAAATAGTTTGTTTTGATGGGCTCTTTGTCTTTTTGCTCTTCCTATGTCTCCCACCCAGCATTGTGATGACCACCTGCTCCACCTTCTTTGCACTGGGCATGATGCCCCTCCTGCTGTACATCTACTCCATGGGGATCTACGATGGGGACCTTAAGGACAAAGTGCCTTATGGAGGCATCGTGATCTCACTGGTCCTAGTTCTCATTCCTTGCAGCATAGGGATCTTCCTCAATGCCAAGCGGCCACAATATGTGCGCTATGTCATCAAGGTAAGAGCTGGGGGAATGCCATCATCTCAGTGTGTGGCTTGAGGCAAGTCACTCAGGCTTTTTCTGTCAATTTCCTTCCTTTAAAAAAAAAAAAAAGGGGTGGGGTGGGGGCTACTATTACTACTATTATGTCTACTTCATGAGATTTTTTTAACTACAGGGAAATACCTTAGAAAAGTTAGGAAAAAACACTACATGTACAACTATAAATGAAGTCATTACTTTAGCAATAGAATTAAACTTGTATTAGCATCTGTTGTTGTTTGCCGTCAAGTCGGACCCAAATCATAGTGACCCCTCCTTGGGTTTCTGAGGCAGTATCACTACAGAAGTAGATTGCCCAACCTTCCTTCCGAGGAGTGGCTGGTGGGTTTGAACTGTCAGCCTTCTCGTTAGCAGTCAAGTGCCTTAGGCACTATGCTACCAGAGCTCCCATTAAGCATCTGTCAGATGATAATGTTTGTGTTAGGCTCTGTGAGGAATCACTGTCCTCAAAGAGTTTAAACTGGCAGAATGCAAGATGAGATTAGTGGGAGTCAGGGTGGTCAGTGAAGACTTCTTGGAGGGGAGGGGACTTGAGACAGAACATAAGGATAGGATTTAGTAAGCCTGGAGAGGAGTTCAGAAGAGTACCCAGGGCAAAAGCAGCTGATCTGCCAAAAGCTAGAGAAAAAGCTAGCTAAGAAAAAGAGGTGTAGGTAATCCCACAATTTCAAGAGACATGTAGGAGGGAGAGTGAAGTGGGTATGGCCACAGAGGGTTTTGGAAACACTGCCTCATTCCATCCCTAGTCCTCAGAAGAAACAAAGATGCACAGGCTCTTAGGATGCTGCCCTGGTCTTTCCACCAACTGGCTCACTGTTAATACCCTGCAACTCCAGGGCCAGGGCTTTTTCCTGGTCCTCAGAAAGGATTTGGTACCCTGGCCTCCTGAGGGTGTGCTGCTTGAAGACTTGGCAGCGCCTTTGGACCTGTGTGGCCTCTCCCCTCTAGCTCTCATTTCTTAAACCGTCTATCAGTCTTCACAATCAGCACTGACACGAGTTCACATCTTTAAAAAAAAAAAAAAAAAAACCCACTGGGTTCCCACTTCCCATTCCAGCTAACCCCTTTTCCTTCCCTTTCCTAGCTAGGTTTCAGGAAAACATACCCACACACACCACCTTCCATTTCTACCATGTTGTCACCAAACTGCTCTCATAGAAAAGCCCTCAAAACAGTTTTAGTTCACCGATTCCCTCTCTTCTCTCCAACATCTATCACCCAGCATCTTGGAGAGCACCTGCTCCACTTTCCTTGTCAAATCCAATGGATGTTTCTCAATTCTGCCTTGACCTGTAGTGACATTTGACATTGACTGACCATGGCCACCTCCTCAAAAGCCTTCTCCCTTATCTTTGGTAAATCAGAGTCCTGCTTTCTTATCACCTCTCTGGTAGTTCCCTTTAGACTCCCTTTTAAGTTCCTCTGCTGAAAGCTGTTACTTTTCTGGATTCAGTTTGTCTGAATCTTTCTGCTTTCCTTACCAGGTTCCCAGGCTTCCCCTTGCCCAGGATCTCCCTACCCCAAGAACTTGTCCATCTCAGGTCTGCAACTACCAACTACAAGCAGAGGAATTCCAGAACAGTAGCTTTAGCCCTGAATTCTCCCCTAAGTCCAAATCATTTTATTAACTCTCAAGCCTTTCTATCTGAATATACTTCAGGCATTTTAAACTGTCTCAAAATCATCTCCTCCCTGTGATCATCTCAGTGAATGGCACTGTATTTGCCCAACTGCCTAAGCCAGAAACCTGAAATGCACTCACCATCCCTCTCCTTGTGCCTTCACACCCATCTATCAGTGACTAAATTCTGCTTTCCATTACTTAAATCCACCCAATTCTTCTCCACTATCTTCATTCAGACCACCATCCTCCCTCTCTAGAAAACTCCAACAGCCTTCTAAGTGGGCTCCCTGGCTGCTTTAACTTCAGAGTAGAGACATAAAGTATAAATCATACTTTCACTCTACCACACCCCCTCCCTCATCCATCCTTTATTTCCCTCCAGAATAGTTTAAACTCCTTAACAGGCATCTTCAAGCCTTTCTTGATCCAATTTCAGCTCTCCTTTCCGGTCTCAGCTTTTTCCTTTTTGCACATGCCCTTCCCTTCATCTGGAGCACAGACCCTCCCAGCTCCCACTGGGCTCACAACTCACTCAACTTACTTCCACTCACCCTTCAGGGCTCATCACAAGGAACATTTCCTCCACAAAGGCTTCGCTAAGCCCCCAAGCCACAGAAGGATGCTTGTCCTATTTACTCCCATAGCATCCAATCACACTGTATTCTAATTCCTGGTTGTTTTTATTGCCCACTCACTTGCAAATTACTTAAGAAACAAAACCCCCAAGGCTAGGTCTTTTAATTACTACTGAATCCTCAACACCTATCAAAATTTCCTTCAGAAAGCTAATGCCTGAGAATGAAGAAATAGAGGAATAAGAACAAGTCCTGTGTCCCACTGTTTCTTCCATACATCACAGGAAAACCAAGAATGTGTTTGTTTCCATCATTTTATGTATTTAAGATAGTTTTGGGGAAATATAAGCATTTTTTTTAAATATGAAAATATGATGTGACTACAGAATAACTTAATGCACTGCCCCCATTTTATAAGTGAGGAAACTGAGGACCAGAACCTTGTATTGAAATATATGCTTCCTTTTTACCTCAGAATAACTTTAATTAGGAATGTTCTTCTGAGGATGCAAAAAGCAAAATCTGATCTCAAAGCTGGAAAGACCTTCAAGATAAAGTGCAGTCTCCTGTGCTACTCCTACCTTAGATAGAATAACTGAAGCCCAGAGAAGTCCCATTCCACTACTCAATTCAAGATAAAGTGCAGTCTCCTGTGCTACTCCTACCTTAGATAGAATAACTGAAGCCCAGAGAAGTCCCATTCCACTACTCAATTCGAGTGAAAATGACCCCAGAGAACATTAAGAGCTAAAAAATACCTGGGCTGGGAAGACAGGCCCCAATATCAAGTAACCGCATCTAAAAGGGGATCTGCAAATCACAGGTACTCACTCCTTGGACCCACTTTGTTGTTACGTGCTGTAGAGTTGATTCTGCCTGAGTGACCTCAGGTACAACAGAACAAAACACTCCCCAGCCCTGTACCAGACTCACATCCTTACTATGTATGCTTCAGCCCCTCATTACAGCACTGTGTCAATCTCATTGAAGGTCTTCTCTTTTTTTCTGACCCTCCACCTTACCAAGTAGGATATCCTTCTCCAGGGACTGGTCCCTTCTGAAAATATAACCAACGTATAGATGAAACATCTGGCTATTCGCACTTCCAAGGAGCATTCTGGCTGCACATCCTCCAGGACAGGTGTTAGTTCTGGTGGTGGTGGTGGTGTTAAGAGCCGTTGAGTCATTTCCGACTCACAGCGACCCCATGCACAGAACAAAACACTGCCTGATCCCGCACCAGCCCCACAATCCCTGCTATACTTGAGCCCATCATCGCAGCCACCTTGTCAATCCATCTCGTTGGAGGCCTCCCCCTCTTTCGTCGACCCTCCACCCTACCAAGCATGACATTCTTCTCCAAGGAATGGTCCCTTCTGACAACATGACCAAAATAGGTGAGACAAAGTCTGGCCATTCTTGCTTCCAAGGAGCATTCTGGCTGCACTTCCTCCAGGACAGATGTTAGTTCTTTTAGCAGTCCATGGTACTTTCAGCATTCTTTGCCACCACCACAACTCAAAAGCATCAACTCTTCTTCGGTCTTCCTTATTCATTGTCCAGCTCTCACATGCATACGAGGCGATTGGAAATATCATGGCTTGTGTCAGGCGCACCTTAGTCCTCAAGGAGATATCCTTGCTCCTCAGCACTTGAAACAGTTCCTTCGCAGTTGACTTTCCCAATGCTACACGTCGTCTAATGTACTGACTGCTGCTTCCGTTGGCATCGATGGTAGAACCAATTAGTTAGTTCTGGTAGCCCCTGATATCTTCAGTATTCTTTGCCAACACAAATGCAAAGCATCAACTCTTCTTCAGTCTTTTTCATTGTCCAGCTTTCACATACATGAGGTGAAAGATGGAGGACACTATGGCTTGGATTAGGCACACCTTAGTCTTCAAAGTGACATCCTTGTTTCTTAACACTTTAAAGGTCTTTTGCAGATTTGCCAAGCGTGATTATGATATCTGATTTCTTGACCCACTTTGGCCATGGCTAAACCTCCAGATTGAAACAATAAGGCCAACAGCTCAATTTACCATACGTTCACAAGTGAGAATCACATCTGTGAGGCTGCAGAGACAAAAGTGTGGCTCAAGGTACAAAAGCTGAATCTCTTGGGTCCTCACTTCCAAGATGACAAAGAAAAGGAGTAACAGCTGGGGGGGCTTGAACCACCAACCTTCTGGTTAGCAGCCAAATGTCCTACCCATTATGCCATCAGAGCCCCTTAACCAAATGTGTAGAAGTTAGGATTTATAACACATATTTTGGGGGACAAAATTCAGTCCATAATAACCCCTAATAACTGGCTCATGGCAGACTATCTGCTCAAACTGTCTAACCTTAAGTTGCATTTTCCAATGGAAAGGCACATTTACAAATGCCAAGATACAATTCCAGGAATGGCCTATTTTGAAAGACAACTTAATACCCATGCAAGGGTTTAATCAAACCCTGTATGGTTAGAAGGCTGATAAACTTGATCATCCAAGTCCGGGAGCCACTTTCACCATAAGCCATCTACTATTCTTTATTAAGTGTTCCACCATTCCATTGATTCAGCCACTCTACCTATGCTTTTCCCATAGCTGCTGCTGCTACTGATGAACTCTCATAGTTTCTGCTGTGTTCAGGATTGTGTCTTTTAACATTCCTCTGTTACTGCTTCCCTCCCTGTAATTCTGCAAACTCCCTAAAAAAGTGGATCCTACTGGTTTGGCCACTCAATTTGCATAGGCCATCCTTATGGGCAGAATTTGGCCCAGGTCCTCTCAGACCACTAGCAAGCTGTGACCATAGCAGTGAAGTCAGTGTACAAAACATGATAGCAGTGAAGTCAGTGTACAAAACATGGTGACCCATGAAGAAACTACTAAAGCCACTTGCCTCGGTAGAAAATTGTGTATGTGAAACTTCCACACATGGTAGTAGTGAGAATGGCAGGAAAATTTTAGATAGTTCCTCTCTCACTTCAGCACTACTTTTTGATGAGTAGTTCCTTTATGCCAAGCCTTTAGATATTGCCTCACTTAATCCTCAAAAACACTACTGCTACTGCATTATTCTCTCCATTTTACTTATGGGGGCAGAATCTCAAGAGTTGTGAGACTTGCCAAAGCTGATACTGCTACAGACTGGCAGAGCCAGCTTTCATGCCTGGGTCACACCTGAGTCTGTGCTCTATCTTGTCACCTCCAAGAATGGGAGAAGAGTGAGGCAATGAGAGTGAATGTCCATGAATCAAAGGATGGCTTGTGGTTTCATGGACCATTCCTATAGCCTAATGTCCCCTAAATTATCATTACACTGTTGACGGGTTAAAACTATTACCAGGCAGTCCATCAGTTAATATGAAATGTTTCAATAAAACCTGAACATGTGGCTATTTACGTGATCTGTAAAGTCCTGCCTATCTTGATAGGACCACTAGGTCAGTACAGGTGATGTTTTATGTGACACATCAGTTGCAGCACAAATTAAACACAGCAATGAAAAGCTGTGCAGATGAGCCATTTAAGTAATGTTATAATGTCACAACATTGTGAATGTAATTAATGCCACTGAATTGTACCCTTAAAAGTGGTTAAAATAGCAAATTTTATAGTATATATTTTACAATAACTACATATGTGAATGAACTGTAAACTAAACCAAAACACATATAACTTAAGAAATAACAAGGTTTAAGAAAAGTTTGCTACGTATTTCTTTACTCAGACGATGTGAGGGTCAAATAACTTTAATGTATGCATACATGTTTATCAGTTTGGAGTACATCATTCTCTAAAATAAAATTAAAAAATGGAAGTACACTTTGAGACCCTGCATCCTTCTGTTACATGCCGAAAAGTCTCCACATTGTAATTTTCATCGTAACTCTACCTATTGAAAATTTTAAATGGCATGAAAGATGCAACTGTAATTTTCAAAGATACCATGCTCCCAATTAATGCTGCCTCAAAACCAAGTTACCTGGGCAAGGGTGGGCTGTCTCCAAAGATGCTATTATTACCCAAAGACATTTCTGAAATTACTTTGGGGAACTTCCTTTATACTCAAATTTGCAAGGAGGCTTATCCCTTTATGGATATACATGATTGTGAGTCTAAAACCCTATTACCTGGCTCGATCATCCACCTTATTTATCAACTTGGTTTTAAATGACTCGACCATATCCAGAAGCCAAATTCATCTCAAACTGGATGTAGCCCCTATCCATGATGGAGGTATTTAGATAATATAGTAAGTTCTAAAAGTAATTGTTACTAAGTTACAAGATATTTGGAGCAATGCCAGTATTGCACAAGTGTGTATATAAGCTCGAGAGAGAATGGCTTTGAAAGGTAATTTTCCATTTACAAAACTTTGAGGGAAACTGCAGTCTCATTCCTTCAAAATCACAGCACTTCACTGCACTTCCACTATCAAGAGCTGTGCTTAGCCAAGTTCTTAGTAATAAAAAAATGTTTCACAAGTCTCTGCCAAAGATTCCTAGCTACCAGCAAGAAATTTAATAAAAACACAATGCAAAGATCTTTCATATTCCCTTCAACTACCAATTCTTCCGATTAAAATATTTCCATCTAACTCCACAACATTTGCATTTTATTCTTGTCTTCATTCCCAGGGAGGAATGATCATCATGCTTCTGTCTACTGTGGCCATTTCGGTTCTCTCTGCCATCAACGTGGGCAAGAGCATCATGTTTGTCATGACACCACACTTGCTGGCCACCTCCTCCCTCATGCCTTTTATCGGCTTCCTGATGGGCTATATTCTCTCTGTCATCTTCCACCTCAACGAACAGTAAGTTATTACCGTAGGCCCAACTATTCCACGGGCTTCATTCTAGTCCTGGTCTCTCAGAAAAAGTTAAGAAACTAGGAATCTAACATCTGGGGGAGGCATTTTCCTAATAATATGTTCAAACTCACCTATTAAAAAAGGAACTTGGGACTGTGAGGAATACTGGGGAGGGAATGTATTGAGGGTGTAGGAACGTTAAGACAAAACCAGTGACTAAAGGCATCCGAACTGTAACAGCTAATCAGAGAGCACAGCACCCCCTCCAAAGCTACAGATTCTATCTTCTGCCCAATTCCCTGGTAGTTAACGGCAGTGGGGCAGCTTCATGTCATTGACAGGTCTTGATAAGACACCTTTCTTTCCTTTCCCAATTTTCCTTATCTGCCAAGACTATGCTCCTGACAAGGACACCACTGGGTGACAGCTCTTCTAATGCACTCTGGATCTCTGCTATAGTCTAATCCAGTTCACAAACACAGCTGTCATTTCAGGGAAAAGAGCCTATATGCAAGCATGCTGTGGGACCAGCAGGTATCTTGTCCATACAGAGCAGTATCAAATTTCAGAGACTTTTCCCATTTCCAGCCACAGTAAACTACTACCCAGGAGCCTAAACAAAAATAATCCATTTTTAAAACCATGCAAACTAAACAAAGACCAAATTAGAATATATATGTAACGTAAGGTGTGACATAGTGAGCCAAAGGCTACCAGTGATGACTACTCAGTGACGTCGATCTTCATAAAACGGGGTGATGCAGATCATTACAAATGGTCACACCAAGTTTCACCCAGCAGGCTTACTCAAAATAAATGCTATGATGGTTCCACTGTAACGATTTTAATAACACTAAATTGTAATGTAATGAATTAAAAGTGTATTCACTAAATATAAGCACCCCAACCTTCAATCCATCAATTATAAAGCAAAATCAACAGAGTGCTTTCCAAAAACAAGGCTGACTTGAGTCCTATTTGGAGGGGAGGAAAAAAACAAACCATCATGTTTTAGAGTTAATGATGTCCACACCAGAAACATCCGAGACAGGAAAAGACCCTCAACACTTCAGATTATTGCTCCCCACATAAGCCTGATATATATTAACATATACCAGTTCATTTCCATCCTTCACCAGATCCAGATTTTAATGTCAATCCTACAAAAGTAGGCAAATCATATATTCCCCAAAGCTACTCAAATCTCACAAAAATGGATGAATTTTACTCATCACCAGCATCCTCCATGGGCTAGATTAGTGTTTCTGAGAGATGGGTCGATGTGGATTTGCATGAACCCACATTTGTTCCACACATCTGTCTCCCATTCATCTTACTATGTAACACTGGTCAGTGGGTCCCAGCACTTCTGCGAGGGAGAGGAAGGGCAAATGAAGTTGTGCCCTCACATCTCTTCTGAGAGTAAACTTTTTTTTCTTTCTTTTCACCTGCATAGATGCAGGCGCACCGTGAGCATGGAGACTGGATGCCAAAATGTTCAACTCTGCTCCACCATCCTCAATGTGACTTTTCCTCCTGAAGTTATTGGACCACTTTTCTTCTTTCCTCTCCTCTATATGATTTTCCAGCTTGGAGAAGGGCTTCTCTTCATTGCCATCTTTCGGTGCTACCAGAAAATCAATCCTCCTAAGGGTGAGTATAAAATCATCCCGTTCTGAACTCTGCTTCCATGCTGGAGCTGCTCTTGCCAGCAAGCCTCTAGCAGGGATCCATCCTTTGGACAGAATGACTCCTTCCAAGTCACTAGGAACCAGGTAGTTTCAGGAAGTACTCAAGGGACGTCCTCCAAGAGACAAGGCCACTCTGTCTTCTAGCTGGGAGAATCAAACTGTGGGTACAGTCTGCCTCATGGGACTGTGGCAATTTTGACTGCTTTGTCTCAGTGGGGAGACCATGTAGGACTCAGAATGAATAGGACAGAACTGCCTTTGACATTAGTTTTGGTTATGTGAAAAGCCCTAGCCCTAGCCACAAGAGTTGGGGAAATTTCTGTGATCTTCCTTGACAGGTTCTAATGTTCTAGAATCAGGTCAAAGTCCAGCACCACTGGCACCTCCAACAAGTGGCAAACATGTTTACAACAACAAAAGCTAGTTACCCAAATCCATACTGACTCAACTCTGGTTACACTGTAAGCCAGTAAGCACAAACCTGTTAATAAAAGATGACTCTCACTCTAATAGGTATTTCTGCTGAAATAGTAACTTCCTAGCTGATGGCACCTCTAAGGAGCTTGGAGTATTTCATTATCTTGAAAATATAATCAAACCTCAAGAAAGCCGACTAAGTCTCAAAGTGCACCTTAAATTCAAGAATCAACCTAACTTGGTAACACAACTCTGAAACACTGTAATATTCTTCCTTCATAGAGACCCCTCCTTGGTTTTCAACTGCCAGCCTTCTGGTTAGCAGTCAAATGCCTTAGGCACTATGCCACCAGAGCTCCTGGTTGTTTTGTTTTTTGAGTAAACATTTAAAATTTTAAGTCCTTCAACTTTTTTTTCCCTTCTCTTATTTCCCCCTGAACTCAACTGAGGGCCCCTTCAAGACCCTTTCCAGACCCCAAGGATTTTTAATCACACTCTAGGAGAAAGTTACAACATCCCTGGTAGAATTCAGTTAATTAGCAAATGCAGATTCTCTTTGCAACTAGTTAAAAATCTTGGTCAAGCAGCTACAAATAAATCTTAAAATGGCTGACCATAACCCAGAACCATTTTAGCAGCTCTCGTTTAAAATTAGGGTGGAGTTGTGGGACAAGAATCTAGCCTGATGCATGTGAGAGCAAGCAGCTCGAAATTTGTTGCCCAATGAGGCTCCCCTTTTGCTCTGCCCCCTAGAAAAAGTAGATGGGAAGGAAGATTCCCAGGTTTTAATTTTGAACGCCATGCACTAAAAGACACAGATACTATGAGGCCTCACACTCTCAAGACCTTAAAAAAAAAATCTTCTTCACAATGCACATCAGAGGATGAGGAACCAGCTGGAAAACTAAGCTAAAGCAGGTTATTTCTTTGGCGCTAATGGGTTAAGAACTTCCAAGCAGCTGTGCTTAGCATGAAAAATCTGCCACAAGTTTTTGTACTTTTGGTCCCTAAACTGTTCTACTAGATGGAGTAGGAAAGAGATGGAACAACAGTAAAGATGGACCCTGATTGTTGTCTTCACAGCTCACGACCTTCATAAACATTGAATAGGGTAAACCAAAGAACACTATCAAGCCCAAGAAGGGAGGGGCTGTCCCTTGAGAAGACTCCCCTAAGGCTCTCTTCCCTCTCCTTGTTCCCAGAAACCTTGCCTACACAAACTCATTACCCCAATTATTTTACATACAATGAAGTTGAAGATGAGATGATGAAGAGTCACTTCTTTTAACTTATTAGGTCTTCTGTTATTAGTATTACTATTAGGAAAGTACATCTTTCCTAAGGTTTAAGAGTAAGTGGTGGAAAAACAGGTAAGAACAAAATATATGTAATCAGCACACCTAAGGGATGAACTGGGATTTTATCTTCCAGATTAAGCAAGGTTTGATTAACTACTATTTTGTCCTTTCACTCCCTTTATCTTTTGTACCTTTACAGATAAATCAAAAATAGTCTATACAGCTGCCGCAACTGAAGAAACAATTCCAGAAGCTCTAAGAAATGGCACCTACAAAGGAGAGGAGTACTTCACTTGCAAAGCCTAGCCCTTCCTCCCAGTGGCCTGACTTCTAGTTAGAAGGCAGTTCATAAAGTCAGTGGTACACTGCAGAGAACAGAAATGAAGTAATGTTGTCTGAAAAATTATTTCTTTGGCAGAACCCATCAAAATCATCAAGCCTTGGCCTAGAGCACAGAGAGGATGTCTATCCCAGAAGCCTCATCTATCCCCAACTTAGAATTTGACTTTTTTTTTTTTTTTGAAGACTGTTTAGTGACAGACCATAAACTCTATGAAGGGAGAAAATCTACCTTTTGCCTCTAGCTCTCTAGAACTGTGCCTGATAAGCAAGTACACAAGTTTTGAACCATTCAATAAATGGACTGTGGTAAACAGAATCAAGTATCTAATTCCTATTCCAAATATTGAAACCTGTAAGGGAAAATAAATGCTCAAGAGTGCTGTAGGATTAGCACTTAAGAAGTCCTAACTAATCTAAAAAATTCAGACACCATGGAAAAAAACTGCCTTTCTCCCTGCCTTTTTTAGCAACTTCCAAAAGACCAGTCAAGATGATCTTTGTAGCTTTCAGATACATAACAGAAAATCTTACACTCTGAAGATTTAAACAAGGCCAGTTCCCTCTAAGTAAATTAACAGCTAGTACTACACAAACCCCTACTAAAATCAGCCTCATCCAAAAAGGATCAGCCTTACAATTTCAGGACATTAAGTTCTGTAATTTTATACAGCACGAAATGGCCTACAGATACAAAGATACAAAAAATCTACCCCCAAATGGAAATTCCAACCCACCACTTTAGATAAATCAAGACAAACTTCTCTACTGCTTCTAATTCCACCTTTCTTAAAAACCCTGCAATGCTAGGACAGGAAAATAAACCCTAAGAGAGCAAAAATAGGTTTCAGAACCAGATATCCTAGGTTCTGGTATCAGTTCCCACCACTCATCTGTCAGTTTGCCATACTGTGGTGATTTGCATGTTGCTGTGACACTGGAAGTTATGCAATGGGCATTTCCAATACCAGCAGGGTCACCCATGGTAGACAGGTTTCAGAGAAGCTTCCAGATTATAACAAACTAGAAAGGACCTGGCAATCTGCTTCTAAAAAAACTGGTCCATGACCTTATGACTAAGAGCGTAACACTGTCCCAACAGTTCTGGAAAACGAGCCCGAGGTTGGAAAGCACTCAAAATACAACTACCCAAAGAGTCACCTTTAATGTGGATTAGATGCAGTAAACCTTTCAGGACTTTCATTTGCTGATGCAGCACAACTCAAAATGAGAACAGGTGCAAATATGCCTCAATAATCAAAGCATGTAATGTACATAGTATAATCTAATAAGATTAGAAGCTGTCAAAAAATGAAATGGAGCACTTGTAGATATCCTAAGCATAGTGAGCTGAAGTGGACTGGTATGAGCCATTTTTAATAGAACAATTATGTGGTCCATTTATGTCAGGAATGACAAACTGAATACCCATGTTGTCACACTCATTCTATCAAAAGGAACATTCAAAATCTATTCTGAAGGACAAAGCTTTGAATTATGGGTAACATTTGACAATTCCAGAACCCTGACTTGTGCTCATTTGTAAACTATACATAGGTCATGATACTGCAGTTTAAAATTCAAAAAGATGAGTCAGGTTGCATCCTTTCACTATACTAATTCAATCTGTATGCTAACCAAATAATCCAAGAAGCTGGACTGTATGAAGAACACAGCCATGAGGACTGGAGACTCAATGAAACTGTAGTATACAACTGACACCTTGCTTGCTGAAATAAAAGATGTCTTGAAACAATGAACCATCAAAAACTACAGCCTACAGTATGGAAAGGGGGAAAAAAAAAAACCCAACCCTACTGCCATTAATTCCAACTCAGAGCAATCCAATGGACAGAGAACTGCCCAATGGGGTTTGAAAAGCTGTAAATCTTCATGGAAGGATGCATCTTTCTCCTATGGAGCAGATGGTGGGTTCCATCTGCCAACCTTCTAGTTAGCAGCCAAATGCCTTTACTACTGAACCACCAGAGCTCCTTTCAGCATGGATTACACCTCAAAGTTACTTTAACAGAACTCCTCAGACCTGGACGAACAAAGAGCATCATGGTAAACAGAAAATAAGCTTAAGTTGTAAGGATTCCAATTTACTTTGATCTACAATCAACATCCATGGAAGCAGCAGTCAAGAATAAAACACATGGCACTGGGCAAATCTGTTGTTTATATGGTTAAAAAGCAATGATGTCACTGAGGACTAAGATCCATCTGATCCAAGCAATGGTCTCATTTAACAATGGACAAGACCAAAGAAATAATGCATTTGAATTAGTGTTAGCACAATTACCGAATGGCAGTCACAAACAAGATCCACTCCTAAGCGTAACTTGAATTTGTAAGCAAGTCAAATAGGTGTATATTGCACTCACACGTTCAGTGGTTTGAAAGCTGCACATTTATCAAGTGAAACAGACTGTTAAGAATTTTAGTTGGTTTCAAAGTGAGAACAAATTTTCACATTATGTAAAAGGCCAGTAAGAGTCCATTCATATCGCAGAAACTCACTGCATACCATGGAATTTGATGCCTTTGAATTACGGTGTTTGCTAACATTAAATGTACCATGGGCTGCCAGAAGAACAAATCTGTCTGGCAAGTACTAGAATGTTCCTTTCAAATGAGATCATCTTACATTCTCTGGACATGTTATCAAGAGGGACCAGTCCCTAAAGATATCCTACTTGGTACTGGGTCAGCAGCAAAAAAAAAAAGATTCTCAATGAAATGGATTGACACAGTGGCTGCAAAAATGGGCCTGGACACAGCAACAATTGTGAGGATGATGTAGGACCAGGCAGTGGTTTTTTTCTATTGTACACTGGGTCACTATGAGTCAGTACCTACTACCATCAGTCCACCTTTTACTTGTCTGGTTCTTAAGTCCCTGGAGTTCCTCCTTTAAAATGGTGATATTATAGTTCTGAAAATTCAGTGAATATAGAGGTAAGATACTGAAAAAGAGTGTCTTGGTACTGTTACTGAACATTAAGTAGATGTTACTATTACCGAGTATTTATCTAGACTAGCACCCAAATGGAGAACCAAGAAAACCTAATCAGTCTCCCACAAGATTCTAAGAAACAATGCACATTTTACACAACCACGGGGCAGAGTTTGAGGGCTCAGGTTAGTGAGTGACTAACATTTAGGATGGATAAAGGACCTTTGATAGCTTTTAATATTAACCTGTTTTTCCTTAACATACATTGTCATATGTGTCTGAGAACTAAATGAAAAATCCAAAAGCCTCTTAAATATTTGTGTGCACTAATTTTTTCAACTGTTTCACCATCTCTGACCATCCTAACTATATTGAAGGTATGAAACATACATTAACTTTGCAATTTGCTTCCCAAATATCTCCTTCTTTGCTTAACTCCCAAATCCTAAGTAACCTTATGTCAATACAATAAAGTGAGGGTGACAAAAGGAAAGCCTGCAGAACACACACTCTGAAATGAAATAGTCAAATAATTCACCGTAATTAAGGTCCTAAACAGTTCATTGACTTCTTTCCCCATCTTCTGACTAGCCTGGAAATGTAATACTATTTAAAAAAAACCAACCAACCCACTCTAGGATTCTGGAAAGGATTTTAAATGTGTTGAACGCAGATGTCTAGAAGGGAAGAAGGGTAACGGCATACCACATCAAACAGACCAAAAAAGAAAAGAAAAGGGGGGGGAAAAAAAGCAATTTTATAGTATTTTATTATCAATAACAAACAGCTGCTGTAACGGGGTTGTCTCTGTCCTGCAGCTGTTAAAGGGTGGGTGGGAGGACACCCTCAGCTCCAACAAGGAAAACCCAAATTAAGCCTTTATATACAAGCAAATTTAGAGCTCTTTTATGTGTCCAAAGCCATTAATTATTTGAGGCATTAAATGAATTCTGAATTAACATATTTGAATAACCAGGAACTAAAATACTCTAATTTTTTTCTAGTACAAAAAAATTAAATTTGCTTTAGTTATAAAAGAGCTCTGTCAATATACACAAACTATATACTTCAGACATTCACAAAAATGTGAACAGAAGGCTTATCAAAAGACATTTAATACAATTAGTTTTCAACAACCCCTTGGTGGTCCACATCTACAAAGATATCCAGCCCAACCCAACCCCCTCCAAACCCCACCCCCACAGAAAAGCACATACTTACCAGAATTTTTAGCAAGTATGGTTTGGGAATTTTTTTTTTGTTGTTCTTGTTGTTTTTAAAAAAGGCCCCCAGGGCAAGTTATTTACAGTTTAATTGCCACTGTCAACTGATCTGGACCTGGACCTGGATCTTGACCGGGACCTGGACCTCTGGTGACCCACAGATGGAGACTTAGATCTACTTGAAGAACCACGTTTCTGGCTCTTCTCAGGCACAGGAGACCTACTAACAGAACGGGACTTGCTACGGCTCCGGCTCCTGCTCCTTGACCGGCTGTAAGACTTGCGACTACGAGATCGAGATCGGCTACGAGACCTAGAGGAACTCCTGGTCCGGGAACGGGACCTGCTTCTTGACCTACTAGGGAAGGAGGGGGCAAATAAAACAAAACATAAATGACAGGCCTTACAAATCCATTCAATGAAAACTGTGACTTAAAAGCGTTAGAGATACCTGTGCCTTTTGCTGCCTTCAATTAATTTTATTTTCCTCCCGTTTATTTCCTTTCCAGAAAGTTTTTCAATAGCATTCTTTAAGTCACCATAAGAGGCAAACTCAACCACCCTAAGATGAGAAAACAAAGCATTTGTAAATATGTATCAGTCTTCTAAACTACATATAGCAGTCCAGATTACGTAACTTTTCTATGCTCGTTCTTCTATTGTTTTATTAGCTGTGTTTCTTGATGGCTCAACATTAAAGCAGATTATCTCAGCCTCAGCCCTACTGGCATTTTAGGAAAGATCAGTCTTTGCTGTGGGGGACTGTCCTGTGCATTTTAAGATCCTCAGCAGCTATCCCTGGCTTTTACCCTTCAGACATTAGGAGAACCCTC